ATATATATATATATATATATATCCCTCAGTATCTTCAGTGTATCCTTTTTGCTCTTTTCGTGCATGTGAGTAGGTGAATGATCCCTCACTATTTAGTGCTGATATCTCTCTCTCTCTCTTTCTCTCTATCCCCTTTTTTCTGTGTGTGTCTTGAGGGATTATTGGTTTGCGTTCTACTGATGATAAAGCTACTAATGATGATAAAAGCAAAATATTCATTTATTTTTTTTTAATTTGTTTTCTTTTCTTTTTTTCTTATTTTTGCTTTTTTTTTTTTTGCTTTTTGTTTGCTCTTCATCATCTACTTTGGCAGTTCCATCACCTCGTTTGTATTATCATTACATAAAGTTTCATGCACTGCTTGTAGCAGTCTCAGAGAACAACAACGACAACACCAGTAATTAATAATAACAACAACAATAGTAATAATAATAATAATAATAAAACACCAAACACAAGAGAAGAAAGAGTGAGAAATAGCGAGTAATAGGAAGGTATAAAAAAAAAAAAAAAAAATGTATGGAAAGAAATAGAGAAAACGGGAAAACAAACCGGAAGAAAAAAAAAAGAAGATATTTGTAATCCTGTTATTTCTTTTCTCTTTCTTTCTGTTTCTCTCTCTCTCTCTCTCTCTCTCTTTGTTTCTGAGATTTCTTTTTAAAAAAAAGAAAAGAGATAAAGGAGAGAAATTGCATGCTACACATTCTTACAGTTTGCGAGCCACGGGTCCTCTAACGCCGCCTCCGCTGTTGGCCGCGCAGCACTATCCGCACACAACAATCGCTGTATTAACGCACATGCGCCCGGGGGCACAAATGATGGAATTGTGAACTCCGTGGCGGCTATGCGGCGGTACATTTCTTGAAGGTTTTCAGGCGTCAATCGTGTTTCCCCAGCACTCCCTTCATTCGAATAGACTCCACCACTAATATTATTATTATTATTATTATTATGATTATTGACAGGATTTACCGTGGCGGTTGGATCGAATGGGAGACGTGCGGTCAGCATATAATACAAGACGACCCCGCAGCTCCACATATCCGCTGCGTATCCATCCAACACGCCCGGCCGACTTCCACCCGTCGCGGCCATTCGGAGATCGGGCCGCAACACCTCCGGGGCGACGTAGCCGGGAGTGCCCGAGATGGACTCAATCAGTGCGTGTCGGGACTGCGGCACCCCACAGTGCGGGCACGTCATCACAAGTGGATTCAGCCGCACCCCAATCTCCCCGCCGTCTGTGTTATTCCCCGCCACGATGGCGTTGTCTGTCATGATGGACCCTTCCGTGGCGGTTGTATTCATCCAAGTGCCGGTGTTGTTGCTGGTGGGAATCGTCGCGGTCGTCATGGTGCCAGTCGTCGTTGTGGTGGCGGTGCTGGTGGCCCCGTTGCTGGCGTGGGAGTGAATGTAAATTGTGGGCGATGGGCTTGGCGAGGCGGCGATGAGGTGTCCACAGTGTCGGCAGCGCCCACACACCGCCTGTGGGGCATCGTGATCGGCTAATAAGGCGAGTCCAAAGTCCGCAATATACACTCGGGCGCCATCTTCACTAAGAAGTAAATTCTCTGCTTTTATATCGCGGTGGATCACGTGCCGGGCGTGTAAGTAGGCAACAGCTCGCAGTGTTTGTTTAAAATACGCGGCGGCGACGGCAGCGGGGAGTGGACCACCGCGGGAGACAAGTGCCGCAATGGAACCCCCACCGGCCAATCGCATCACTAAATACACCGCACGTGGTGTTTGCAGCACCTCCGTCAGTGTGATCACCCCATCGCAGCCTGAGCCGCCGCTGCTGCCGCTAGATACTATATTTCCTCCAATCCCAGTAGTCTCTACGGGCCCAGGAGGGGCACCACTACCACCACTACTATGCATATCCACCGTCGTCCCAATGGGAGATGCATAGATATTATTATTATTATTATTGTTCGTGCTGGTGGTGTGGGTGATGGCTGGACTCGCACTAGTAGTGGTGCTGCGCGTGGAACTGTTAAATGTGTCGCCCGCCTCATTCGCAACATCTGCGGAGATGCGTTTCATCACGTAAATCTCACGCCGCACACGTTCCCGCAGGGCTGTGTCCTGTTCTATTTGTTTCTTCTCAAACACCTTCACGGCGTACTGAACACCCGTCTCCACATGTTGGGCACGGTATACAGTGGAGCTAGGGGTGCTGTCGAGCTTCTCGCCTAAACGGTAACTCCCCACTTTTGGCATTATTCTATTTTTTTTTTTCTTGTTTTTCTTTTCTGTTTGGTTGTTGTTATTATTATTATTATTATTGCGATGATAAGGAAATAAATAAACACAACGCCAATCTCACTAACTACTCTATCTGACTCTCTTTTGCTTTCTTTCTTTTTTTTTTTAATTTTATTTGTTTTTTTTTTCTTTCTTTTTTCTCTTCGATCGTCCTCAACAATAAAAGAAAAGAAAGAAGGGGATAATATTTAATAAATACCCCCACTATAACTGTACTGTCCTTTCAAAGTATATATATATATATATATATAAACTATAGTTATATAATGTATTTAGGCCGGATCTGTGTGTTTTCTCTTTGTGTCTATGTGAGAAATGTGCCAATTGCACAAAAATACACACACTTTAACGAACGCTTCCCCCTCTCTTTTCTGTCAGTCTTCTCTAGAGACTCCTTTTCTTTTATTTTATTTTTTTATTCCCTTTAGTTTTCTTTCCTTCTACGGATAGAAACAGTAAAAAGAAGAAAAAAAAAATGGGGTCAATATACCGTGCCTTAATTTTCCCTATAAAAAAAGAAAAAAAAAAATAAAGAAAAGAAGAAAAATAAAAGAAAGAAAAAATGAATCTCTAATGGTCTCTGGAAAACTTGTATGAATCCACCCTCAAACAGTTATTTTATAATGTTATCTCCATGTTAAAGTATTCATAATATAAACCACATTTAGTAGTGACGATTTACAAAAAAAAAAAAAAAGCAAAAAAGCAAATGAAAGAAAGGGGAAAAAAAAGAAACAACAATAATACTGTACTTTACAAAAATACAAATAAATAAATAAATATAAATATAAACTAACGATACAGGATACTAGAGTGTTATTACAGCACGAAGCTCTGCTCGTAGAGCTTCTAAGATGTCATGATCTTTCTTCTCAAGAACTCCCAATCCACTCTGTCTGTTGCGATCCGATAAACTCTTTGGAATCGCAGCACTCAATTGTTGTAGGAATGAATCGCCCCACACACTGGAGGAGAGTGCTCGTCCATTCAATGGAGAAGGCATCTCAACAGCATAGATACTACTATTATTATGATTATTATTATTATAATCATTATTATTATTATTATTATTATTATTATTATTAATATTATTATTATCTCTTCTCAACAGTGGAGCTGGCGAGGAGGAAGTATGGGACTGTGAAACTGTTGCGTTTCGTACGGTCGCATTCCATGGAGATAATGGATGTAGAGAACAGCAATGATGTGATTTCTTTAATAAAAGAGAATCTCTATTATGCGTGTTTGTAGAATTATTTACAAAATTCACTTCTTTCACTTCTTCTGATAATTGCTTAATAGAGAGTGTATGAATATGAGTGGAATAATCATCTAATGTATTGGATGATTTTAATACCGACACTGCGGCTTCTATTTCCCGCTGAAACTGATCTGCAAACCGTCGTTGTCCTTCAATAGATACCATTACTCCTGCCTTTACAGTTCCTTTATTATTATTATTATCATTATCATTATTATTATTATTATTATTATTATTATTATTATTATTATTATTATTATTATTGCCATTATCATACAAACTCCATGGACTTTCTTCTGTTTCTTTTCTTTTTGAATGAGACAACCATACATTCCCTTCTGTGTGTTGTTGATATTGTAAAACCAATCCTAATTCCTTCGCCCGTTGACGTAGTGATAATGAACTCTGTGGTTTACGGTGAAGGGCACTTAATACACCAGGAGGAAAAAGTAATACTCGTCTCACTATTATATGTGGATCCTCTGTGGATTCACTATCTATTTCATACATATGAACATCATCGTCTATAGAGTTATCTCCATTTATTATTATTCTTCTTCTTGTTGTTGTTATTGTTGGGATTATTGTTGGGATAGAGTGTTCATGAGGAATATATTGTTGTGATTCCTCACGGCGTAATCGTCGGGCACATCGACGCTCCCAACGAAAGCGATTAGCCGTAGGAATAACATTATTCTTATTATTATTATTATTATTATTATTATTATTATTATTATTATTATTATTATTATTATTATTATTATTATTATTAGTAGTAGTAGTAGTAGATTCGAGTACGGGAAGATGTAATCCACATGCCTGCAGCTCTAAACGCATTTGTTGAATCTTTTCCATTTGCTCCACATATGTTCTCTCTGCTGTAGAAACAAAAGCCACTCGTTGTTTATATTCCCACAAACGTCTATGCGCTTCTTGTAATTTAAGTCGCAGTAAATTACACATGGATTCATTTGCTTTTATGGATTGTTTCTGTGTTTGTTGTTTCTCTTCCTCTGTTAAGATAGCAGCGTAGAGTAAACGTAATGCCTCTTCATTCGCGTTATTTTCTAATCGGCAAAGTGATGTCTTCTCCTCTAATACCCGTACTTTCTCTAATAATTGATTCATCAAGGATGAAAGTAACGGATCTACTTCCATATTATTATTATTATTATTATTATTATTATTATTATTATTATTATTATTATTAGTATCGATAGTTGATGATGATGATGGTGGTGGTATGGAGAGATCTTTATAAATTTGAATGAGTGTATCTTTTTTCTTCTGATGGACTTGCGCCTCCAGTTCTTCTATTGAATGATATAAGAGATCCACTTCCGCCTCTGTCGTCCTCACAAGTTGACGTAATTGCTCAACATCTCGCAAGAGACTCTCATCATCTCTTCTTTTTATACTTTCTTCTCTTATTCCTATTCCTATTCCTTCTCTTCCTATTATTATTGGGAGTGAAGGGATTGAATGGAATTCAGATATACTTTGGTTTTGAATGGTGAGCATTGGATTTTTCATAAAGGCTAAAACATTCGGATCGAGTCCTTCACTATTTCCATAATAATTATTATTATTACTATTATTATTGGGTTGATTATTGGCGGATGTGGAGGCCTCTTGAGTTCTTATCTCTTTTCCATTATTTTCATTCATATTTATCTGCTCTTTGCTCTCTTCTAATGAAAACAAAAACAAAACAAAAACAAAAAGAGAGAGAGAGAGAGAGAAAAGAACCTAAAAAAAGAAGAAAAAAAAAATGATAAAAATAAATAAAAGAATGAGAAAAAAAAGAGAGAGAGAAATTGGTTTAAATAAAGTAAGCAAAGAATATATATATATATATATATATATATGGGAGTGTGGTACCCTCTCACAAGAAAAAAAGAAGAAAAAAAAAGAAAAAAGAAGAAGAATATGCACTCAATTAGGCCTTGCAGACCCACACAGTAAAGAACATTTGCATAGAAAAGAAAGAGAGATATAAATAGAATAAAGACCTAAATATATATATATACATATATATATAGAACAAGTGAATGTTGAATAGTGTAATAATAAGAAAAACAACAAGAAGAAAAGAAGCATATCACTAAAAAGAAAATAAAAAAAGAAGAACAGAAGGAAGGAAGGATGGAAGAGAGAGAGAGAGAGAGAGA